CGCCTGTAAGAGGTGGGTAATCACAGTACTTCCCTTACAGAGCTGTTGGAAGCAGAAATGAGGTCAGGAATGGAAAGGCTCAGAACCGCGCCGGGCACCTTGCCGACGCTTGCCAAGTGCTATGTTGTATGGATGTCCCTGTATTTAACCATTACCCTGTTGGGGGACATTAGGTGGTACCCAGTCTTTAACAATTACCAACCACATTCTCACATATCTGCACACACGTATGTAGGACTGAGTGACATTTTGTGCCGAGCGCCTAAATCCGCTCACGCCCTGGTCTCCCAGCTACGTTCAGGAGAACTGAGGGCTTGGTGGTTACTCCCGAGTTCCACGACGCACAGAATATATTCTGCCAAACCGGGGAGACTGGGGCTTCCTGAGACATTTATGCCTCCAGTCTAGTGTTTTGTGTACTGGTATTCGGCAGCACATTTCCCTTGGGGAAAAAAAGAAAGTTTGTTCCTAAACACATTGTTCCCCCCTTCTCCGCGGGGGATCTGCTCCGGGGCCCCCAGCAGGCACGGGATTTTATAGGACTGTTCTCTCCTATATGCACACATCTACAGCAAGTTTAATGTACTAATTAGGCACAGTACGAGATAAACAACACAACCTATAACAAAATAGAACACCTCTAACGTAGACGTGTAGTAAAGTTACGGAACGGTGGCCTCTCTCTCAAAACAGCTGAATCTACCGCACTCACCTTCTGGCAAGGACATGAGATGATAAAACGCCCTCATGGTGAATGACGTAGGCACCGTGACCTGAGGGCGTAGGCTCTCAGGGACCCGACAAAGACCCGACCCCGCAGCAGAAGGAGGGTCCTCTGCTTCGGGTCCGTGGCGGATCGCTGGAGGGTCACCGAAGCGGTGGAAGCGACACTGCGGGTGAGGGGGGCCTTCTGTATGACTGAAAATCACTGGTGGCTTGGCCTAGTGAGAAAAGACAGTGCTACAGAAGGTTCCGGAATCATTCCAGGTGGGCGTTCTCCAGCCCTGCTTCCTAAGCCTGGGATTGGCGGCATCCACACTGGCAGCTGACATCCGGCCACAGCGGGAGCCTTTCGGCCATGGAAAGGGCAGACGCCGCACATGAGGGCATGCCACTCCTCGGGAGAGCTGCTTCCTACCGCGCGGCGTGTGGCCGACATTCCCACAGGCGTTTCTGGCTCCTGCATCTGCCAGGAGGCTTCGCTCTGTCCAGATCTGTCCCACGCGGCCCCCGTCCTTCCCTGCCTGTGGGCCAGTGCATGACCCACAGAAGGAGCGCCATGAATACTGGTTGAGAGCAAAAGGGGATAACATTTTACTTTTATTACTTCCTGGCAGAGACTGGCGTCGGTTAAGGCAAGACCGACCTTGGGCACAGCAGCGTGGCCCTGGGGGTACACGGCCACGGCGAGAAAGCGCGGAGGCCTCCTCAGGTCCAGGCGCCTTGCCTGGGTGCTCTCAAGGATGAGCTGCCCCCCCCCTTTTTTTTCTTGCCTCTCCCCTTACCTTCTTTTTTTAAAATTTTTTTATTCTTATGTTAATCCCCATACATTACATTATTAGTTTTAGAGGTAGTGTTCCATGATTCATTGTTTGCGTATAACACCCAGTGCTCCATGCAGAATGTGCCCTCCTCAATACCCACCACCAGGCTAACCCATCCTCCCACCCCCCTCCCCTCTAGAACCCTCCGTTTGTTTTTCAGAGTCCATCGTCTCTCATGGTTCGTCTACCCCTCCGATTTCCCCCCCTTCATTCTTCCCCTCCTGTTATCTTCTTCTTTTTCTTTTTTTCTTAACATATATTGCATTATTTGTTTCAGAGGTACAGATCTGAGACTCAACAGTCTTGCACAATTCACAGCGCTTACCAGAGCACATACCCTCCCCAGTGTCTATCACCCAGTCACCCCATCCCTCCCACCCCACCCCCCACTCCAGCAACCCTCAGTTTGTTTCCTGCAGTTAAGAATTCCTTGTATCAGTGAGGTCATATGATACATGTCTTTCTCTGATTGACTTATTTCGCTCAGCACAACACCCTCCAGTTCCATCCAGGTCGTTGCAAATGGCAAGATCTCATTCCTTTTGATGGCTGCATAATATTCCATTGTATATATATACCACTTCTTCTTTATCCATTCATCTGTCGATGGACATCTTTAGCCATGCCCTTTTACCTGGGGGCAGAGACTATGTTCCATGGGGTTGGCGGCCCCTTCGCGCCACTCCACAAATGTAACCTAAGAATACGCCCTCCTCCCCATTGTGCACCTCTGTGTTGGGCAAGTTCAGTCTCTGGTGGGACAAGGACAACCTCCGCGACATCCAGCCACTGGCGAGTTCTGCGTGCAGCCCCGCTCCGTGCTGGCCTCCCCGATGGAGGGACGGGGGCGGGCGTGGTTCAGGAGGCTGTTCCGTGTGTTAAAGGTCACTTCGCATCAGACACAGTCATGACTTGTGCCAGCTCAGGGGGGCTTTGGGGAGAGAGCCGACTATGGAAGACCCCAGGCTGCTGGTACAACAGCGAATTAGAGCAGGAGGAAGCTGGGACAAAAGTCCAGGCAGTTACGCCGGCCCCCAAGGCCGTTGTCACCCATCCGTCCATGGTGAGAAGGCCGGCGACAGCTCAGAGCATCCTGAGGCATTGTTTCCAGGCCCTGAAGGCGGCCTGCAGGACAGGTGGCCACGTCTCTCCCCGGTGGGTGGGCACGGACTTCCTGTGACCACACCGTGACCATGACCACAGATCAAAACCTGATGGATGCAGCGCCGGAGAGTCGGTTGGCGGATGGTCCGGAGAGGAGACGGAGCGAGGGCCCCGCACACACGGGCAGACCTGCTGGGCAGCCTGGTGGCCCCCGGGCTCCATGTTGGGCCAGTTTCCCGAGGGCTGTCTCCTCTGGGGGCTCATCTGTGAGGGTTGCTCCCTCCCCCCGAGGCACTAATAATTTTGACATCTCAGTGAAGGCCTCCTCTTCCTTCTCTCCACCCCAGTGCACCCCCTCTGGAAGGGCCTGGCCTCCACACCAGGGGGCACCCGACAGTCGCCCATCAACATCCGCTGGAGGGACAGTGTCTACGACCCGCAGCTGAAGCCTCTCAGGGTTTCCTATGCCGCAGCCAGCTGCCTGCACATCTGGAACACCGGCTATTTCTTCCAGGTGGAATTCGACGACTCGGCCGAGGGATCAGGTGAGCCTGGGCCGGGGACAGGGGTGCTTTCTCTTCTCCCATCACAGCCCGAGAGCGGGGCCACACTGGGCAGGGAAGGGGCCCAGGGCTTTGCTTACGCGTGGTGTTTGCGGGGCAAGGAACAGAGGCGTCTCAGTGTTGCAGGGTGGGGAGGTGGTGGTCATCTTCAGGATTATAATGCACAGCTTCACTGGACATTCCAGGGGCTGGTCAGGAAGAAACAAGAGGCCCATGGCAATGTATGTAGATGGTGCGTCACAGAGAAGAGCAGAGCAGGTGGGGGGAGAGAGGGGAGGTGGCGGTGCGGCCTGAAGGCAGAGGAAGAAGGAAATTGTGCTGACGATGGGGCAGGGCATCCAGAGCCTGGTACCTTCGCTGGTTCTTGCCCCACAGACACCCAGGGCTGGGAGGGGAGGAGGGGAGGAGCACAGGGTACAGCAGGGGAGGGCTGGGGCGGGCAGGTGGCGAGGCTGTGAGGGCGGCCCTGGAGCCTCCATCCCTGACTGGGTCTCAGCACCTTCCCAAGGGCTTCGTGTGGACCCTGCCCTCAGAGGCTCACCGGGACGCTGACCAGGTTTGGGATGGAGGCTCCGTCGGGTCTGGGAAGGCGTCCACATCCGGGCTGCTGGTGGGTTCCGTCTGGTGTTCCTTCGGCACTTGTTGGTATCCCCGTGAGCCCTGTTCATGCCGAGCCTCTGTCCTCCTTCCGGGAGTGGGGATCGCCGTCCACAGCGGCAGAGGGTGCCTCTGTGACCAGCCCCCGACGAAAACCTTAGGCACCGAGGGTCTTCTGGGCATCCCTGGGGAACATCACTTCGCCCGTGTCTTCACAACTTGTTGCTGGGGGGGAGGGGCGCTCCTCGTGTCCCATGTGCCTCCACAGAGACCACCGCGGGGAAGCGCTCAGCCTCGCACAAGATGGGCTGTGGTCACCGGCTCTGGCTGCTTCCTACGTGGTCAGTGGCAGGACAATGGAGTGGGGACTTGCCTTCAGGCCGATGCGGAATCTTCCAACACCGGCCCCAGGGCCGTCACTCTGCTTCCACCGTGAGGGGAAGGTCCGCCCCGCGCCCTGCGTCCTACCTTTGTCACGAGCCCTGGGCTTGGACTCCCACCCGTCAAAGTGTCCTCGAGATTCTGGGTCACCCTGCCTGGGAGACATCTGAGCCAGCACAGCGCCCACTCCGGGCACCCTGAACCACGTGCGGGCCACCGGCCAGCCTTCCCAGGGGAGGGGCCGGATGGTGAGCGGACGCCCAGCTGCAATGGCCCTCCTCTGATGGACCGGCCAGCAGCGGGGTGCCGGCTTCTCCCTGGGCCAGGCCCTGCGGGGCGCTTTGCAGACAGCAGGGCTCACTTTTCCAGGTGACTCTCTCCCCGTCCCACAGGTAAGAAGGAGCCCGCCTTCCCTGAGTAGCTGCCTGTGTGCCCAGAGCTGCTCACAGTGACCCTTAGCAATGCTTCTCACAGCACACGGCTCGCTGAGCGCCAGGGACCAGAACGCCAACTCTGGCCGAAATTTGCACAGATGAAGTTCCTGGAAGGATGAGCCGGGCTAACAACAGAGAGGAGGGCGAGCTGCATGCCCAGCTCCTGGAAAGCACGGGAGCCAGCCCGGGGCAGGGATGCACGAACCTATTTACTCAGTGTGCCAACCTTTCTTCTGCCCTTGTCGGTCTGTTCCAAGTTCGAATTCCCAAGGAGCAAACTAAAATTGGATTTTCAGGTTTAATGTGCACATTTGTATCATTTTTTAAAATTTTATGCAGCAACTTTAAAAGATTGAATAAAGAATGATAGCTCCTGGGGCGCCTGGGCGGCTCAGTCGGTTGAGCATCCAACTCTTGATTTCAGTGTTCCAGGCGCTCTGGTTCCGTGCTGAGTGGCGAGTCTGCTGGGGATTCTCTCTCCCTCTGCCTCTCCCCCACCACTCTCTCTCAAAAAGAAAAAAAAAAAGGAATAATAATAGCTCCTGAACTTTTAATTACTTGGTTAACAGTTACGGGAATAATAATTTTGAGAAAAACAGATGTGGTTGGGGATGAGCTACCATAGAGTTCACCTCCTCCCATATGATTATTATGCATAGTTATGGGTCTTACTAATATCTATATAACAGGTTTATTTTCCTTTAAGTCGTAAAATACAAAAAGCTGTGAGGGTCACGTTGGACTTCTGTATGTGCATTGTTAAGAGACATTGGACGGAATCATTGACATCCCCAGGGGAAATGGTCTGGTGGCTTGAGCGTGGCACTCTGACTGACATCCTCACCATGACCGAGACCCAGAGCACCAGGATACTCCGGGAAGTGGTGGTCCCCAGGGACATGGAGATGCCGTTGCTAGAAGGCGGAAGGTTTGCAGGACAGACAAGTGGACACCCTCTTCAAGAAGCGCGTCCATCCCGTGAATAACAGCATGGCCCCAAACAGACACCACAGTGGAGAGGCTCGGCGTCCTCACTCTCCTCAAGGAGAGACAGAGGCTGAGGGAAGGGCGGCACGTGAAGGGTCAAGTTCAAGCCGGGTTCCTGCGAGTGGAAAGCTCACATTCCGCCCCCACATCTGCCCTTTACCGGCCCCTTCTCTGAGCCTACGCTTGAGCACTCCTTGCCATGACTGTGTGAGATGGGTGTTAGCTCCCCTTTCACAGATTAAAGAAAAATGAGTCTCAGAGATTCATGGCCAGAGGCCACAGAGCTCTCACGGCAGGATTCTCTGCCCTCCAAAGAAGGGAATTTTAGGAGCCTGAACCTCTGTGGAAGAAAATCTGCACCCAACATCCACAGAGATCAGGCATGAAGCCACAGACACTGACCCCATGTGAACGGAGGAAAATGTTAGCACATGGGGAGACTGTTCTGGGCTCGTGGTCAGGTCCCCAGAGAGCGAGCAGCCTGCTCAGGGTCCTAGCCAGGCCCATGTCCAGTGAGTGCACCCCAGCGGGAGGGCTGGCGGGCAGTGGGGTCGGCCTGGGACACCCATTGCTCACCCCGCAGCAAGAAGCCCACGCCCGACTCTCCGGACAGGTGGAGTGGGGACGCACCTGTGGTGCCTCAAGGGTGAAGCTGTTGCTGTTATGTTTGTATGCTGTATGTCTTACAGCATGTGTGTCTTGGACTCTGGATGGTCCTGTGTCCAGCGGGAGATCGCGGTCAGATTTTAGGCTGGCAAACGAGGCTATTACAGATCATAATTACCCTGAGAATCACAAATCAAAGCCTCCTTTGGGTTAAGAATTTCCACCTCTTGAGTTTTTACCCAGAGCATAAGTCGCAGAATTGGGCATGGCCAGTCCAAGCAGCTCCCTCTGCTTCGGGGATCCGTCCAGGGGTGGGCGTGCAAGTCAAGTCAGACCACTGAGCGCCGGAATTCTCCTGGGAGACATTGGAAGAGAACCCCTTCTGCCTGCGCTGTGCTGTGGTGAGCAGCTAGCCGGGGCCCCTGGCCTTCAGGGAAGAGCCAAGCCAAGAGCTAGAGAAAAACTGAGGCCCGAGGCCATCGCTGGAGCTTCCAAATGCAGCTGTGCCTGAGGCCAAACCAGCCCCTGGACCAATAAATCTCTCTTTTTTGCTTAGGTCAGTTTGATGGATGATTCTGTCCCTTGTTTCCAAGAACCCTAATCCAGAAGACCAAAAGAAGTGGCTGAGTTGAGAGAGAAGAAATCGAAGGGATGCACACGTAGAGGATCGGCAGCCTCGTCCTTGTGCTTTCTGCCCAAATGCCATGTGCAGTGGCAGATCTGCAAGGCCCGGGGTGGAGGGACCCTGTGCCTGACCCCCAGAGGCGGGCAGTCAGAGCTCGGGGCTTGAAGACGCCAGGTCTGTCCTCCCACGTGGGCCTGGCACTTCGGAGACTGGCTCGGGGAAGGCTGGTAAATGTTTGGCCCCTGGCCTTCCAGGACTTGGGGGAGCGACAGGAAACCATTTTAGTGTTTGCCACCTTCCCTGGTGTAAATACTCCCACTCAGCCGGCTTCATGCTCCCAACACAGTCACTGATCCCAAGTGAGGCATCCTCTGTACTGGGCAAGACTTCTTGGGTTGCATGTGGCAGAAACTCAACTCAGGCTGGCGGAAACCAGGGAAAGGCCACCCCCACCGTCAGACACCCCTCCCCACGCACACAGCGCCTCACCCGGGAAGCCCCCTCGCCCCAGCCCCGCAGGGCGACCCTCCCATAAGCGGTGGCCACACCCGCCCGGTCCACCAGATGGGCACGTAGCGCTCGAGGCCTCAGGGAGGTCCCCTTGAGGAGACGCGTGTGACGCATGTCCTCTAGCAAGTCACCTAAACTCTCTGACCCTCAGCCTCCTCCTCTGTGAGGGGAAGATCGGACCCTGGCTCGGGAGGATTGAAAGAGGGTCCTGGGAAGCGCCCAGCACCCTGTGAGCTGAATTAACACTCGGATGACCGGATGATCGCTTTTGCCCTCTCTGGCCATGAGAGGATCCCAAGGAGGCTCTGGCCACGTGCTCTTCCGACGGCTTCCACTGGAGGGAGCACGGAGAGGGCAGAGAAGCAGCTGCGGCCTGGCTGACGGCCAGGACTCCAATGTTGTTTGTGTGACCCCCACTCAACTGGCTGAGGGAGAAAGGCCCCCTCCTGGCCTGTGGGCAGCCCCCGGAGGGTCACTCCCTTGCAGGGACAGTAATGGGCAAATGAGGCATCAGGCACCAAAGCCACATTGAAGTGGATTTTAAGTCACTAAGGTGGGGCCAGTGACAGCATTTTATCGCCTAAATGACGGTTGCTCACCACCCCCGGTGCCAAGAGATCCCACCTGGGCCGGTTCCTGCGAGCAGAGAAGTTCGCGAGCCTTCGACACGGAGATCAGCGCCCAGCGCACACCATGGGACCTCTGTCGATTTTTCTCCTGCAGCAGAGACAGACCTGCAGATCAGCGTAATGGGAAAGTCTGCCGAGGTCACTTCCATCAGCGGGGGGCCTGTAGGTGCCCGCCAGAGAAGCTGACTTGAGCCACTGGAGCCCAAACGGAGCTGCCCAGACGAATCTACGGGCTCCCTCCTGGAAAGGCAGGCTGGAGATGGTGCAGGGGACGGGTCATGGACACGGCAGAAGGAATGCTGTGCCATCTTTCCATCCCCTGCACCATCGCACTCAGGACCCATGTCCCCCGGGACACTTCCACCTACCGGCCGGTGACCCCGGGATCGCGCCGTCCCCACCAGCCAGTGTCTGTATTGTGAACCCCCCCCCCCACGATGCTGCCCACTTAGAGACCCAGAGTCATCTGCACCAGGCTGAGGCAGGCTTCCTTCCTCCCCTCCTCTGCTCCTGCTCCCTCCTGCATCTCTCCAGATGGCCAGTTCCTCAGGCTTGGGAACAGACCGCATGCCGGGGGCCAGTCTGAGTCCCGTCTGGTCCAACACTCCCCCACCCCCCGTGCGTCCGTCATGGCCTCGCCCTGTGGATCGTGGGCAGCTGTTTGACGAAACGCTCCAGTTAACAGGAATCAACTTAGAAATGGGAGGTGGGTCCCCTTGGGGCCCTCAGAAAGTGCTGCCCAGTGTGGAAGCTGTCCCCCCTCTCCTGGTCACTGACCGGCTGCTCGCGTTCCTTCCGAGGGCCACCCTGGAATTCATCATTCCTGCTCCACACCAGAAGCTACAACTGTGAATCTGCAGGACAGCCCCTTCTGCCGCTTTCTCGGCCAAGTCTTAGTAAGCACCCTGTGCGTGGGGAAGCCTTAGTCCCAAGACGCACTCCCTGCTCACCAGCAGATCTCGGGTCACGACTCACACAAAGAGCGAAATTGAAAGGGCCGGTTCCCAACCTCGAGCCCGACTGGCACCCCCGCCCGTGACCCCGCGCGGCCCTCGGGAGCGGGGTCCACTAACCATGGCGCGTAGAGCACAACAAGGGGAGGCTATCTGGGGCGGGGACGGGGGGAGAGACCCATGGGGAGCGAGGAAGAGGAGGAGAGACTGCCAGGAGCCACAGCAAGGCCTTGGGAAGATGAATTTTGGGACCTTCTGAAGGAGATGCTGAACAGACGCACGAACGCCTTCAGGAGAGCCGCACATGCATGGTTAATCATCGGGCCTTGCAAGTGGAAAGCCTCCGTGGGCAGCGCCTTCCTCGGCCTCCCCGATCCCAGCCGTCCCCGGGTTCCGCATGCAGAGGGCCTCTGTCCCCACACGGCACGTTTCCTCCCCGCATGCCGACCCAGGAGCAGACTCTGGGGCCAGGCCAGAGCAGCTGAGCAACCACACAGCTGAGGGCCTTGGCTGAACCTTGGTAATGCATGCATTTTTAAAGACCGGAACGTTCCATCTGTCGGCAAAGGCTCCGCGCCTGGGCCACGGCAGCACCTGCCCCTCAGTGCCCTGCAGGAACCCCGCGGACCTCCGTCTGTGCCGCCATGGTGGCCTGCTCTCTCTCCCTCCTGCCCTCGCCACCTCCTGTCGCTTTCGGCCTAACGCCCTCTTTCTCTTCGTCCTCAGGGAGTCCCTCTGTGCTGCTTAGCCTAGATCCTGCAGAGCGCACCCCACCGCACCCCCGTCCCCGCTCGCGCTCACCACCAGCACACCGCCTGCCTGTCCCTCGGAGCCCAAGCTCCAAGAGGACAGGACTGCTTCGGTCCCCTTCTCTCTCCATCTCGATGCTCGGTAGACGGGGCGGCACATCGTAGGAGCTCCCCGAATATTTTCCTTCTCTGGCGCCTCTGTGGCTGGCCACGCCCCTTCTCACGGACACTTCCTGCAGATGGTTTGCCCCTCGGTGTCTGCGCGCGCAGGTCCTGTCCCGGCAGTCATCGCGGCGGCTTCGGGTCCCTGCGGGTCTCTGATTTGATGGTGACGACGGTGACAGTTTGGGGAAGCACAATACTACCAGGAGTGAAACAGAAGGCGCAGTCACTAATGGAGCCCCTTCCGCGTCCCAGGGGCCGCGCCAGGGAGAGACGCAGAGAGGTAAAAACAGCCCGTGCAAAGCGGAGCGACGTGGTATCAGTGAGTCCCAGTCAGCCTGGCTCTAAAACTGGAGCCACTGCCTGATGCTCTTGGAGCGTAACCACCCAGAGAGCGGGGGTGCTGGGGGGTGGCTTGCGCCGCTCCAGCCCCGACGTGTGCTGGCCCCCAGCTGTGGCTCCGGCTTGCCGGGACAATGACGGAGGCCTTGCTGGTGCCGGCGACAGACGCGGGCCCTTCGTCCTTGCCCGTCGCAGCTCCGGGACTTTAGCGAGCTCCTGGGGTGGCCCCGAGGATGGGCTGGTAACACTTGGCGACGTTGCGTTATCTGCAGTTTTAAGTGATTAGAGCATCTTCAGCTTCTCTTGTATTGAAGCCTTAAAACAACCGTGCCCGCCAAAAGCCTGCTTCTCTTGCTGAAAGCTCTGAGCTGACAAATGGATGGCTATTAACAGCAACTGTTGCAAGCACAGACACACCAGTTTCTGGGGACCGCAAATTTCCCCGTGGAGTCCGATTCCTCCGGGTGTTTGCAGGGTCTGGCCGTGGCTCCGGCAACTCCACAATTCTGTTTCAATGCACCTGCTCAGGGACACTGCTGGGGGACACACCCACCCTCCTGGCGGCCGAGTCTGGGGGCTGGGGCCTGGCGAGCGGAAGGCCCCCTTCTCCCGAATCAGGCTTGCCTTTTTAAATAGTTTTATGAAAGAGAAATAACCTGGCACTGCACTGTCGTTATGAAAAGTCACCTTGAGGTTATTTGATCCAGGGCTGCAGCCTTAAGTTGAGTTCCTAAGTTTCCCAGCAGGACAAGGCTCGTGGGCTGGAACCCCGCGGCACCAGCCGAGGGGCTGGACCTTCAAGCAGGCCTGGGATGCGGTCGCCGGGTGACTGAGGGCATTCTTGAACGTAGAAGCTGTGCTTTCTGACCTGCCTTTTCCCTCTTCCTGGGTGCACTCAGGCTGAAAGGGGCACCATGCCTGCATCAGCCAAAGGTCCAGGTTTGTCGGTGTCTCCACCGACCTGCCCCAGGGCACCATTCCAGCCCAGCCCAGGCTATAAACCAGCCTCCTTCCTCCTCACTTGTCCTCCTAGAAAGCTCAGGTTTTGCTTATCTCCTTGTTTGTGTTTGCATATGATAAGGCTAGGGAGGTGCCGCAGCCTTGGGGGCCCGGGGCGGGTTGGGGAGAGGGGGGGAGGCGGTGTTAGGAGCTTGCCCAGGATCGAGTCCTTCCTTTACAGAGGCCCAGACGTCACCCTGAAAGAGACACACGTCTTGGAGGCCCCGCTGAACAGGAACATTCTTTCCTGAGGTGGGCCAGGGCCCCAGGCTTCCAAAGGATGGCCTTCCATGCTTCGTTCTCCTGCGGAAGCAGACGGGCTGGAGTCTGGCTGGTGGGAGGCAGCTTCAGGGGCAGCTTCACGTCGGGGAGAGCGTGGGGCCGCGTCCGTGGGCTCCAGTCCTGTGCGGAGGGTGACCTTGGAAAAGGCTTCTGACCTTGCGCCCACAAGCCCCTCCCGTCCCCGCGGCTGCCCCTCCCTGGCACCACGGGAGATTTTTCTACAAGGGCATTTTTGGCGGACTTCTAGCAGACATCCAGCTACGGGTGGATTTATGCTGCATACGGCTGGTGTCGCTCTTTCGGAGACCTTATGTACGTCCCTACATAGAATTCTAATTCTAATTCCCGCTTGAGCGGGAAGGGACCGCAAGAACCTTCTAGCTGGTAATTGTTTTCCAACAGATGGAGTCAAGTCCTTGAAAGTTTACATGCTGTGGAGTCACCAGCATGACTATCGTCATGACAACCCTCCACCAGGCACTCTCCCCGTCACCACCTCCGTTTATCCCACCAACACTCACTGCGCGGGTGGGGAGGCTGAGGCTCGGAGGGGCCGAGAGCGGCTCGCTCAGGGTCACGCAGCAAGTGTGAGGCGGAGGTAAGCTGCAAGTCCAGGTCTACCCGCCGTTCCTGCCTCCTGGTGCTCTGCTTCTAGAAAGGATGGCGTCAGCTGCATGGGTGAGCATGCTACCGTCTCCACCGTGGTGCCCAGGCCGCCTCCTGCAGGGAAGTTGCTCAGACTCTAAGTGCCACACGCCCCCCCTCAGGCTTGCCTCTTGGTCACAAACGGGTGTGTTTTGGCACGCGAGGCCACTGGTTGGCCCGCGCCACGAAACCCCTCTGCCCCGCGGATAGAGGCTGCCAGGCAGGAGCAAGCACAGATATTTCCACTGCCCGGGTTCGTGGTCCTCTAACATCCCGAAATTGTGTTTTCTGCTTGGAAGGATCAAGTGGAAAAGGCGTGGGTTTTCGTGTCAGACCTGGGCTCAAATCCTAGCTCCCTGTCAGACCTGGGCTCAAATCCTAGCTCCCGTTGCTGGGATTACCAGCAAACCCCACCCTCTGCTGGTAAGCTTCAAGGCAACCCAAAACTACAAAGGGCAGTTGTAGTTCACCTACAAGTTCACCTCCCCCCCAGGGAAAAAAACCAACCCCCTTTGTCATTTTAGCCACAGAAAATCTCCATTAAAGCCTTGTTATTCGAACCCACCGGGAGGCTTTCCCATCTGCAGAGCGACTCCTCCACGGTCCCACCGGGAGATTCGGGCTTTGGGACTTAGGACGTTTTCATATGCTTCTCTCTGTGTATTTTTAAAAATTGAAGTATAATTCACATGTGTGTGCTCAGGAGAGTCGATTTCCTCATAAAACCACAGAACTCTACAACTAGACGAGAACTTAACGAGATTCTAGACCAACAACCCTCATTTTCGAGTGAAGAAAGGCAGCGAGGAGCTCTATGAGCTGGTCGAGGGCAGAATCGTGAACTCAATCTGTTTTCGACTTTACCGTTCAGCTCCTCCTGCTCCTTGTACTTTTCATGGCGAAAGCAGAACTGAGAACACCACCAGCCAGGGGCCTCTGACGTTGTCAACAGCATCGGTCACCCAGAGGAGCTGATGCGGGCTGGGCCACCCCTGGCATCTGCGGGGGGGGGGGGGGGGCCTCCTGACCTGCCCCCCAGCCCAGTAGCCATGTGCTCACTTCAGTTAAAAGCAAGATGCACCACATTAACCATTCTATCCATAGCAACACTGATGGAAATCTGTTAGCAAAGTGCAGCCGAAGCTCAGCCAGCCTTGTGCATGGGATTCTCAGCCCTCGCCCTGGGCTCGGGACCGGGCTCTTTAGTGCCCCATCATGGACGCTCCTGTCTGCTAACAGCTCCCGGGGAGGCCACCCCGGGGACTGAGGGTGACTTAGAAAAGAGCCCACCAATAAAGCCTGGTCGTATAGTGAGACTACCTGGAACAGGGACTGCATGCAGGTTGGCGCTGACGGAGAAGGCAGCGTGCTGTTTTTCGGAATTTCTTTACGTGAACATCTTGCTCGTTACATATTAGTTTGTGGAATTCTTTGGTGGTGGAATTTAAGCTGCCACTTTTTCATTCAAAAGACTTTTTTTTTTTTTTTTTTTTTTAATTAAGGAAAAGCCTGGAAACCTTCTAGGACGGGCATGCATCTCAGAAAGGTTTCCTCTGCCTTCCGGGGGCACCAAAGGGGATGAGGTCCCTGCCGCCACCTGGTGGCAGCGCTGAGTTCTGCACCCGCTCTGGTCAGCTGGGGTCAGCTGGGGCCAGAGGGCCCCAGGGACAGAGGTGAACAGACAAGAGCCGGCCTTTCACTTTGTCCTCTGTGCAGGACGTCGATCTCTCAGGAGGGAACTTGCGTGACCTCCGTGTAGGTAGACGCTGTCCCAGCAAAGGGCAGTCCGGCAGACAAACTAACACACGGGTTCCTCTGGTTTCATTTTCCAGGGATCAGCGGTGGCCCCTTGGAAAACCTCTACAGACTAAAGCAGTTCCATTTCCACTGGGGGGCGGCGAACGAGCGGGGCTCAGAGCACACGGTGGACGACCACGTGTACCCGGCAGAGGTTGGTAGACGCCATCCTCGCAGCAGCTACGTCGTGGGGGCTTTCTACGCCCCAGGCTGGCGTGTAGGGTGACTGGCCAGCCTGAGTGCCCAGGAAGGGAGCATTCCCGGGACACTGGACTCTCGGGGCTCAAACCGGAGCAGTGGGCCGCCCTACCCATCCAATCACACAGCTGTCCTAAGACCAGGGTGCCGTTCATGCTTCCGTCCAACAGAAGGAGAGACCGAGGTTCTAAGTGGCTCTGGGACTTGCCAAGGTCCGCAGCTGGGATTCAGGAGCCGCTCCCTCAGCCACGTGCCCGCTGCTGGTCGATTATGGACTTAGAAGCTTCCGGTCCTTCGAGGCACTCGGGGCCTTCGACGGAGATCTGAAAATCCTTACAACAGAGATCATCTTCTTGAAGCGATGAGACGTTTGCATCGTTCCAAAATGGGATTCTGTAGAGAAAATCGGTAGGGATAAATGTTAGGAGTTGGTGTTTGCAGCTGTGGGGGGGGGGGGGCGGTGCAGTAAGTGGTGTTTATAGACTTCCCCCCAATATTTTATTATGAAATTTTTCCAACATACAAAAAAACCCACAAAACCCTGGAAGAACTGTTCCATGAGACCCCGTGAGGCTGCCACCCAGATGCAATGGTTAACAGTTTGCCATATTCACCTTCTCACTCCTCTGTCCATCCACCCGTCCCTCCGTCCACCCCCCGAACACCTGACCTCCTGATGCATTTCAAGTATGGACAATTTTTATCCTAACTTTTCGCTGCCATTGTTATGGGAGCAGGGCTACAGTTAAAATAGAGCTGGGAT